ATTAGTAATTAATGTTTATTAAACACTTTTGAAAATGTTCTCAAAAACCGTTGATACGTACATAATATTTTTTATTTTTCGCTTTCATTGGTTCTGGATGACATAATGTCACGTCGCATAAATTTTACACCTGCTTCAATTCACTCTTCTTTCATGATAATTATAATATTTAATATGATAATAATAATATATATTATTATTGTTATAATAATAATTGTTAATTAAAGTAGTAGTAGTGGTATTATTGTCATAGTTAACATTCTTTATGACTTATTATATGTATATATTATCGGTGTTGACGAAAATTTATTTTTTTTCCTTATTTTTGGCAGATATTCGCAAAAAACTTATCTTTTTGTGTGACTGAAAATTGGCATTTTACAACAATTTGTTGACAAATCAAGCCTGGTTACTAGCGTCGTAGGTGTTTTGTTGCTGGACTCGAGAAAATAAATTTATTTGTTGTTTGAGTGTGTTCGTTGTAGAGTTGTAGAAGATGTTGTTAATGAGTTGCTGATTTTGATGGGTCGTTGATGTGTTGTTGATGTTGACAATGTAGTCATGTTGTTGCTCATTAGTTAGAATAATGAATTAACTCTATGTGTGATTTATTTGTTGTTGTGCGTTCGTTGTTTATGTCTTGTTGATTTGAGTTTGATATTATTTGTGTCGTTGATGTTTTGTTGGTGAAATGTTAATGTGATTTATTTATTGCTGTGTGTTTGTGTCGAATGTCTATTTATCTTGCTACTGTTTGCGTCCTTCGTTATTGCATTTTTTGTATGGCGCGTTTGGAGTTTGTTGTTTGATGTGACATCGTTTTTATAAAATTGTCTGCTTTGTTGGGATTTTTTGCTCGAGCTTACTGGTTAGTATTTTTATGAGTTGTTACTGTTTGAAAAATGATTAATACAAAAATAAGTTTTGTGATGCTTAAAATGACCAGCTGCCACTAGTGACAATGTATTTCAAAAGTGAGCGTCACCAATTACTTTATCACCATCATACTCACCCATCAAACCCTACCATCATTTTCATCACTAACTGATTATGGTAATCATAATCATCATCATCATTTTCACATTATCATCACCATCACATTATCATTACCATAATCATCACCACAATCATCACCGTCATCGTCACACAACCGCCATATTGCTTCTGTCATAAAGACATATGCCCAAGAAAGACAGAAACTAATGCGTGCAAATGCATTCCTGCGCTATAGCAGGCAGGCAGTCATCAAATTTTTTTTATGAAAAAGAGACAATAACATCTTCCACCTTACTGCTTCTAATTAACTGCACGTCTGCATGTTACCATTATTTGCACTCATTCTATTGTGCGTCTTACTTGATGCAATTAATATCGTTCTTCATGTTGCATACTAAATTTCTGAAGCGGCTGATGAACTAATTTTTAGTTATTTTTTTCTACCTTTTATTGTTTTATTCTGCGAGTTGATTGGCGACACGTGAAATTATTGTATATTACCTAATTAATTCCTACTGCACACAAGGTATTTGTGATTAGATGAGGATATGAAAGAACTCTGAGAATTTTAACGTAATTAAAGTTTTTCATATAGTTTGAGTACTAAAAAAATAAATTATGCTGAAGAACTATGCAATCATTTGACATTTCAGTCTACCATTAAAAAAATGTTTTTCAGCGGGAGGCTTTTTAAAATAATTATTAAAACGCGATCAATTGCGTAAACAAAAAAAATCTGAACAAACATCACTCAATTTTAAAAATATTTCACAAATTTAAATAAATTATATTATCCCAACCAACAAAATAATGTTCATATTAATAAATATAACAGTGAACAAGTGACAGGTTAACATTTAACGAGTCAACGAGCAACGAGCAGATGTTTAGCAGATCAATAATTCAAAATATTTCTATCATTGCAAGCAGGTGTGTGTTGTACTGTACTCTCTACTGAAGGCTCCTACATGTACACATGTGCACTTTACATGTTACTGTACGTACAAGAACATGTGTACTCTATTTATGTCTACGTACGTACGTACTTACATTTAAACTTGAACATACCTGCAACATCGCCAATGCCTAAAAGAAATACTTTAGATATATGATAGTAAGTGCAGATTATTACGAAAATCAAATAATGGAGGTCTGTCATCATTTCACTACACGACTTCAAATACATTTTTCACAAATTATTATAAAGCCATCAGACGATACACGCAAAAAAACAAAAAAATTGAAAGAGGACACATAGGAACGCATCTAGACAACTTACTCCACTACATATAAACACACAACTGTCCTATCACTAAAAAACTCGCCGATAAAAAATAGGCAGTGTAGGATATAAAATTCAGTGTACACAGAAATACATCTATACAAACATCCAGAAACATACACTTGGGCAAAAATATTCAATTATCCGTAAATACAATGCACACGTGCTCGAGCGTACAAAAATACAAAAGATTTATATCCAAACAAGCAGACATGCAGACATACAAATATACAAAAAGGCAGACATACAAAACATGCAAACATACATCCATGCTGATATACAAACGTACAAACAAGCATGCAGACAATGCAAACATTCACATCTGGAACTTCATCAACGTTTTTATTTGACCATCGCCATCATCCCCATTATTTTTTTTCAAAATTATTTTAATCGATTTTTTAGGAAAACTCTTTCTTCAAGCCACACAAAATATATTTTCATTTTTAATTGAAAATTATACATTGGAATGTTTTACCTGACATATATGGCACTGCTGCATAGGCCGATTCATCATCATTACTACACTTGCACTGATTATTGTTACATCCAACAATTTTGTATGCCTCCTTCAATTTGTTCTCTTCTTTCTCTTTCTGTTTTTTTTCTTATCAATATCATCATCATTTGTCCCATTATTTAATGTGTTTCTTTTTTAAGGATCCATTAATTAAAATGAAATAATGTTTCATTTTCAAACTTCTCAATCTTTGTGTTTTTTTGAAAAAAAACTCTTGTTTTTTATAAATCTTTTTGTTTTTTGAAAAAACTTTTGTTTTTTATAAACTCGAGATACATATTTAAAACTTTTTTTTTATAAATTTAAAATACATTTTTCTCTGGAATGGTATTTCATATATTGGGACATATTTTGAAGTGTCAAATTATGTTTCTGTTATCGTGTGTGTAATTGGTTCACTTAATGATAGGGTAATTGATTTGAATTTTATGAAATAAATAAAGTTTGATGGAATAAATTTCTAGATTAATAAAAAATTTACAGTGCGTGTGTGTATGTGTGAATGTTTGTGTGTGATTTTTTGAGTGTAAATAAGTATGAGTGTACATGTGTGTGTCTGTGTGTGGTGTGTGTGTGTCTCTCTGTGTGTGTGTTGTTAGAGTGTGTGTTAGTGTGAACAAACGAACAAACATATACAAGCAAACCCACCTCGGCAGTAAAATGCTTTTTTGTGAGTCTTTAAAAAAGTAAATGCAAAACAACTAAAACATATTAAAAAATGATTGGCATGGCAAGAATGAATTTTAAAATATTTGCAAATCAATATACAATGATAAAGTTTAATGTATGTTATGTAATGTAACGTTATGTTGTTTTTTTTTTGGAGGTGGCCATACAAGCATTGCTTCAGGTCTCCATTAATAAAATTGTTAAATTGTTAAAAAAAAATTATTAAAAATGTTTATAACTAAGTTATATTTAATAAGCAGTTTTAATGGAATGAACAGATAATGATATTTATTTTGAAATGTCAAAAGTTGATAATTAAATCAAATATTTTATTATTTTATAAACATTTTATAATTATTAAAATTTTATGAGGTGATGCTCACATATAAATAAAGAATTATCTACAAGTTGTTTTGCGAAATAACAACTTTCTGGAAAAATTGTGGCAATCTAACGCCACTGAGAAGAAAAACACAAAAAATGAAAAATGTTGCCCAAGCAAATATTTTGCAAATATTATAACGTCAGCAATTGGGCACTCACGTGACATTTATTGGTGCAGTAACGACTTTTTATGAGAATAATATACTAACTTGCAATATTGTTTGTAATATTATTATTTTACTAAGTAATTAGAAACCAGCAAATTATATTTTGGTGCTCAATGAAATCAGTGATTATGATTTGTTGCAAATAGTTCAACCCTTAATACCTGCTGTGTGGATAAGTTGTTTGTCGTTTATATAACATGCATGCATGCTATTGCTATCATCATTGAGCCCTACTGTATAAACCACGACTACAAATTTTTATCAAGCTGTATAAATCATACCCAGTCGTCCATTGATCAATTTGACTCTTTGCCGGAAAATGTACTATTTTCCATTTTTCTACGTCTCATTCTGAATTAGAAACCCTCCGTTGAATTTTTCTCCATCTGCTTAGCCTCATCTATGAATTTTTTAAGCTCGTTTCTCTGTTCAACAGTCAGATCCTGACTCAGACCAACACGAGACAGATTATCGCCCACTGACTTCATTTTAACAAAATATTTTAGAAAATGACTTCCTTTATCATGACGTCATCAAATTTAATCAAAACTGGTCTTACCACTTTTCTAACCAAGTCTTAACAGCTTCACTACGTTTGATCCATCATAAACACCACCGGTCAGGTGAGTGGAGCTTTGAAGCTGTCGCCATTAAATAAGTAGTCAATAAAAATCAATTCCTTTTTCTTGGTGTTTACAGGCGAGGCTCAGCACAAATAACCGTTTCGATTCTCCTGTGAATGAAATATTCTTGCATTATGAAAAAACAAAATTGTAATGTGAGTAAAATGTAATTGTAATGTGAATAAAATTTAATTTTGATGTAAATAAAATGTAATTTTATGTATTGTATTGTATTGTATTGTAAATAAAATCTACTTTTGATGTAAATAAAACGTAATTTTACTGTATTGCATTGTATTGTGTTGTAAATAAAATGTACTTTTGATGTAAAAAAAACGTAATTCCATTTGTCCAACCAGACAGCAACTTCGTTTTGGGAAATTCGCAGGCCCAAGGCCACCCTATCGTCTACTGTTCCGATGGCTTTTGTGAGTTGACAGGGTACGCTAGGGCACAAGTAAGTGACGTCATTGAGATGATTGTTGTCGTTGGTGCGTTTGTTGTTGTGTGTAGGTGTCTGATATTGTGTGCAGATTTTGTTGTTGTCTGGGTGTTTGTTGTTGTCTGGGTGTTTGTTGTTGTCTGAGTGTTGTTGTTGTTGTGTGTAGGTGTTTTTTGATGTTGTAGTGGTGCTAATGTTAACTTGTGACTCGATGGAAATGTTTGTCTAATTCAATTATTCTTTTAAATATTTAAGATATGATGTCTTTTCGGTAAAGTCACGTCAATAGGATTTGTTTGGAGATTTGTTTAATGCCAGCGCTTTTTGAGTGCAGATGGTTGTAGTTTATAATTTTTAATGATGAGCTGACCAGGCAAATAGACATTGTAATGATGAATAGCTAACAGGGGGTCACCTTGCAAATTAGGATGATAAATGTTACCAAATATTAATGATGCAGTAATCCTTTTGGCTCTGAAGAAGTTTTTAAAAATCTAATCATGCAATGTTCATTTCATGTTTTGCAACCTATTGTTACACTTAGATCAGTAGATGAATAAATAAAATGAATCAATCTATGTCTAATACACGAGTTAACGAATCAATAGAAATTGCATATTAAACAATAACAATTCATTAAATGTTTAACATAAAATTTTTTTATTCGTTTAAAATTTAAAAAAAAGAGAGTGAAATACTAGTATAACTGAACAAAGTTGAAATAATGTAAATGAAAATAAGTAGATAAATGAATGAATGGTTATATAAATAAATGAATGAAAATAGTGAAAGGAAAAAAATGAATGCGTGGATGGACGGATGGATGGATGTGTTGTTATACATACATATGTAATTTTTCATATAAAAATAATTTATTACAATATAAATTGCTTTATTCATCAAAGCTCTGGATTTCATAGCGGTAAAAACATAAGTGGCATCAATTAGCAACGATATAATTAATTGCTGTCTTATTATTTGTTTTGGTTTGTTTTTTAAACTGATAAATCATATTAATTGAATAATCGTGTTGTTATTGTTTGCATTTGCATTGACACATTTCAAAAGTACAATCTACCGTCATTAAAATTCAAAATAATATTTTTAGTTAGGGTCTATTTAATTTACAACTTTCGATGATTGCTTAGCTTATAATCTTCTACTTAGCAACAAGCTAACGAGTTCAAAAAGTCAGTTAGCGGCTGCAGAAAAGATCGGATTACATTGTAATATGACATCTTTGATTGGACGACAAACAAAGTAGCCATCCAATTCATCTAGCGAGTGTAACTGCCTGCTTGTTTGAGTTAATAATAAAAATCTATCGCTTATTTGTTTTGTTCGTTAGTTTTTGTTTGTTTGTTTGTTTGTATGTTTGTTATGTTTGTTCACTTTATTATTCCCTTTTTGTTTCTGTTTTTTTGTGTGATTGTTTCTATTAGTTTAAGCGCTTCTGCGTGCGCGAGTGGATGATAAGGAATGATAATTCGAACGTTGAAAAAGCTATCTGCCCACTTGCAATCATTCATCAATTTGCTTGATGTCGTGATCCAGGCAGGCATTCATCATCAGGCAACTGAGGCATGCAAGGTTTCTTGCTCCTCAGGTTTTTGACACAGCAGCAAAAATTCGTTTTATGACTTCTGATTGGAGGTTGCGTGTTTTGCTGCTTAATTTTCACTATTGCAGTGTTCTTTTTGTTATTTACGTGTAGGATAATTTTGAATTATTGACTTACCAAACTTCATGTTTCTACATGATTTAATACGTCTTATCGTCACATTATTGCTTATAAAAAAATGAAAGCTGTCAGAGTCCTAGCCAATGAGGAGTTTAGTTGCGGTTAAACCTAAACTGAATCTATTTTATGTTCTACAATTTCAAAAGAAACAGTTTTAATTAATTGTAATACAAAAACGTTAGTTCTAACAGGGAAGATTTTTTTTACAAATTTTGTCTATAATTGTTTGAAATTTTATTCCTCATCATACAAGTTACGTCTTAGTTGTTAATCATTAAGTTGCTTGTTGATTTCATAATATTGTTTTTGATAATGTTGTCAGATTTCAACATAATATTTAATTAGGCATTACTCCATTACAAATATTGATACCGCAATCAAGTGGTCATGTGAATTGTAACAAGCAGGTAAAAATTTAAGTTATTTTCCATAAGGTGGCATCATTTAAACATTATATATACATTTTATTATTGTTGTCTCTGATGTTTGTTGCCGGCTTATAATGGAATGAATGTTTCACCATTTCAATTCTTATACTCAACCACCACACATGTTTGTATTGTACAAAATCGCTCCATGCTTTGCCAACTTGGTGTACGAACATCTGCAGATTTCTATAATTCTTTACGTAACGTAAATATAGCTACCTATCTATTACAATAGTTCTTATTTTCTTGCTTTCTTTGTTCAATTCGTTTTGACTGCTACTTCGTCAGACGTCATGTGTTATGTTGCTAAATTGCTGCTGCAGTAGAACAGTTATTGATCACTTTTCAAATTTTCAGATTGTAAGCTTTTATTAAAAGTTTATTTACGTGTTTGAAATTTTTAAATTAAAATCTTTTGTTAGAAGTTTGTTTACGCTATCGTTTGAATGATCTTATTGTAGCCATTAAATTTTTATAATCTGAATCATTCTTTAGATCATTTCGTCATCAAACTTCTCGACACACAAACACACACATCTGATCGAAAATATCGCATTCAGGCATGTCTATTTGTCACTCATCAACATACATATACAAATGAATATAATATAATAAAACTAAATAAACAGAACATAAAGTATATTGAACGACACATGCAACACGGTAATAATTATTATGTGATTATGTAATAAATAAATTTATGTGCAATTTTTTCTACCAAAATAATGCAGTTCAACATTTGAGAACCATCATTAGGAGGAATGGCTTATGAGATGAAAAAATTGAAGTAAATATTTACAAGTTATTATAGTTTTTAGATAGTTCAGACTCACGGACCATACATACGTGCTACATTTACAAATTTAATAGCAATCACACAGAAGTTCAAGAAATAAATAAAAAAAACTCTAAGTGATTATAAACAAACAATCAAGTTGCAAACAAACATTCATTCATTTGTTATCAATCAATCAAACAAACAAACAAGCAATCAAACAAGCAAAGGCAGAACAGCACTGTAGAAGCAAGCGAAACTGGTTGACGATAAAAACTTCGATACTTTATGCAGCTGTTTGCAAAGTTAAAAACATTTCTAGACCAATTTTCAAACACGAAACCGGAACTTAATTAAAAATAAATTTGTTTAAAAAACGCATTCTTGGTGATGATAGCGATGATAGCGAGAAAAACATTCGGTAAGAAGATGAGACATAAAACGTTCACCTGAATAATCAGAGTTTATAAATTTTTAAACAAGCCCTTCTATTTTACTGCATTCACTCGTTGCTATGTTTATGATAGTCTGGTTATTTTATTTGTTATACTGTGGAGTGTTTATAATTATAATGTAGTATTTTGAGATTGTTTGTAATTTGAATTTTTGTTTAGTGAAGAATGTTTTTGCAATGTTTATTGCTATACTTAGATGATCCTGTACAAACTTGTGTTTCAATTATGTTTTGCTAGATCTAGTAGATCCAGTAAATATATATTCATCATTCTGCAGCGATATATAAACAAAATAAAAAAAAACTCCTTCTCTGATAGTAGATCATTGTTGAATTATTAGCCAGGTGTCTGCATTAAAAATTACGACAAAATTGATTAATTACTTTTTTGTTGAATTTTTATAATTTTAAAATTTTTGAAAAAATTTAAATTCATGCCCAATACATCAATGCTTTTAAGTATGCTAACTTGTTTCAAACTTGCAAAACGCCTGCAGGTTATGTCCAAAAACTGTATATGCAAATTTCTCTTTGGTCCGCTGACGTCCGCCGAAGAAATAAAAAAACTTGAAACATCCGTCGAGACCAAATCGGAATTGAAATCAGAGCTTCAACTCTATCGCAAAAATGGTCGGTGTTTTTGAAATTTAGTTGTTAGACTTTTAACAATTTAAATTGTTGTATGTTTGTGTTAACTATTGTTGCTAGTCTAAAATAGAGACTGTACTGTTTTTCTTTCTCTCGTTCAATTTCATTATGTTTTTATTTATTTTTTAATACGTAACTGATTTATAATTACACGATTATCGAGCCTTTTCTAACAAACATTCATCGCCATCATCGTCATCATCACTATTATCATCATCCTCATTATCCTCATAATTATCACCTCCACCATTCTCCTTCTCATCGTCATCATCATCTCCATCATCATCATCGTCATCATCATCATCTTTATCATCGTCATCATCGTCATCATCGTCATCATCGTCATCATCGTCATCATCATCATCATCATCATCACTACCATCATCATCACCATTATCATCATCGTGATGAAGGAACAATGTTCTGGTGCCTTCTGGACATGGTGCCGATAAAGAACGAGAAGGGGGAGGTGGTCCTCTTCCTTGTCTCCCACAAAGACATAACCTTCAGTAGGAAGCATAATGCCAAAACATCTCGTTAGTTATTCATTCATTTATTCAATCATATATAGGAAAAATATGATATACAATTTCAATCTATGATGATATATGATATATAGGAGATATATGATAGACGGAGATATCTAATTACGTACGACTCTCTCTGAGGCTAATTATGCTTCAGCTATCATACAGTGCATTCCAGCAAAAAAGGCATTCAAATGGACTTTTTATTATTTTTATTCATTTTTATTGCTAAATTTATTCTTATTTTGTTTTCAACATTTATTTATTTTTTGTTTACCTATTCCATTTCGCTGAAGCATTTTTTATTTTTGCTGGGGAGTTTTTAATTAGGACAATCACACTGAGCAGAATGGTTCTCGTTCGTTTGCCGTCCTCTTCTGGCACTTCTTTCCAATTTTACAGCAGCAGCAAAATGAGTTTCTCATTTTTTAGTAATTATTTTCGAAAATTTGTTTTGTTTTGTTTTTAATTGCTGTTGTTTTTGTCTGCCTGTGCGCAATTTCAAATCCATCTTTGCAGAGCATTCCGTTGATTGATTGATGGATGAATGGAGGGATGGATTGATTGATTGATTGTTGGATTGAGAGACTGATTGATGAATGGATGAATTGATTGATGGATGGATTGATTGAATAATTGATTGATTGATTGGTTGATTGATTGATATTTTGTTCATTTTTTGTTATTGATGATGGCTCTGTAAACTATTTTCCGCTGTTTAACACTGTAAATTACTGTTCGGTGCCTATTTATTCACTTGTTCAAATGACGAATAAATGGATGGATGGATGGATGGGTGGATTGATGGATGGATGGATAGGTGGATGGATGGATGGATGGATGGATGGATGGATGGATAGATGGATGGATGGATGGATGGATGGATGGATGGATGGATGGATGGATGGATGGATGGATGGATGGATGGATGGATGGATAGATGGATGGATGGATGGATGGATGGATGGATGGATGGATGGATGGATGGATGGATGGATGGATGGACGGATGGATAGACGGATGGATAGACGGATGGATAGACGGATGGATAGACGGATGGATAGACGGATGGATAGACGGATGGATAGACGGATGGATAAACGGATGGACGGACGGATGGACGGACGGATGGACGGACGGATGGACGGACGGATGGACAGACGGATGGACAGACGGATGGACAGACGGATGGACAGACGGATGGACAGACGGATGGACAGACGGATGGATGAATCTATCTATGGATGGATAAATGGCT